TATCTTGTTCATGCATTTTTAAGCTTAATCATTGGAGTCAATACAAGGCATTTTGCTGCTGGATAAACCAGTTTGAGGAGATGAATTAACAGTAAAGCACAGCAAGAAACATGGTGAACAAAGTGAAAGAAGAACCAGGGCTACATTAAGTGGCTGAACAGTCAAATTCTAAATTCATCTTTCTCTCAAAACGTTTTATTGTACACGAGGGGTACAGAATCTGTGAATTGGGATGGAGTGAGTTTGCTGCAGTTTTTTGTACTCGTCATTCTGTAATGCCCTCTTGTCCTCTGCCTTGCCTTGCCTCTGAGTTTTGGTATGCAGTCATTTTAGCTGAAGAGAATTTGACGGCGTTCACCTAAAATGTCGGACAATTTTATCCCTGTGTGCCAGCTGTGTGTGTGGGAGTGTGTATGTGGATGTAGGTGTCTGAGATCAGGTTTGTGTGTGTGTTTCCATTAGTCGTACGGCTTATGGCTGGCCTTGGAGAGTTAAATGAAGCTCTCCATCACTCTTGGAACAAGGACTGAGAGAAGGGGAAGGGACACAGCAGGATAGAGGTATCTGAGAGGAGAACATGGGATGGGATGATGAGGCTCTCCTAGTAATGTATTACCCACCATGCTGGTTGTGATTGTATGAGTCACAGAATGATCACCCAGGTATTAAATACGCAGATTTTGTTTTGAGGCGTTCTCTCTTCTTGTGTTAAACAGTGGGAAGATTGAGGAGACTTCCATACTTGTGTGGGATGATAGTATGAATATTTACTTATAGTATTGTATTATTTGTGTTATATCAGCGTCATGATCTGGAGTAGTGTTGAAATAATTAGTCAAATTGTTCATTTTTCTAGAAAAAAGACTTCCTTACAGAGCCCCTCCTCCAACACACACAAACGCGCACATGACCAATGAGGGCACGAGATAAGTTTGTGCACAGATGGAAGGCTGACAGGCAGGTAGGCCATCCAGTTATTTTAGCCGGGCCGGCTCAGATGATTGGTCGTGCTTTTTACAGCACTACGGCTTCCACAGATGACATTTTTTAATATATTTATTGTCAAAGCATTTAATGTATTCATTGCTATCGGGATGTTAAGAGCATTCCATGGAATATAACAAAAAGTGTTTCTGAAGTGAATTACCTACCCTACCTTTAATTGTAAGTACATTGTTTCTGCAAGTGCTGCATGATCGACCTTCTAAATATGGCAGATGTGATCTTTTGTATGGATGTTGGTAACTAAATATCTGAAAAAACACAAGCACTTTGAATGACATCACATCAATTTCGTGATGACATTTTTTAAATGATTATTTAAGGCAACTAATTGATTAATCAGTACGATATCATGTTGACTTAATCACATATAATTGGATCATTTCCCTTACCTGGAATTTGACTGTGGTACTTAAGTAGGTATGATAGTGTAGCGCCGTAAGCGAAGCCTGGTGTGGAACACAATCCAGACTTGGGCGTGCACTTGCAGGTTGGAGAACGGCAGCAAAGAAAAGAATTGATTGGATTTGTGATGTTAGCATATTGAAGATTGCATAATCATGATGGCAGAATACCGTAGGCTTGGCATCGGATTTTAGGTAGTAGTTTTGGTGATGAAGATAGTAAGTCTTATTAGCTTTATGGTTTGAGGGAACAATGCATATAATTTCTCATTTACATAAGCGAATACAAGCATGTTTGTGTATGCTGTCAGTTAAAGTTCTCAGAAATAAATTGGTAAATGGGCGATCAGTTCTGAGATGCGTACTGTTATCTCACTGATGTCCCTGTTTGCGAGTTTGATCCTATTCGGGATGTCCTGTAGCTGGATATATGATTCATTTCCCTGGTCTTTGATCTGTGAGAAAGTTTTAACTTTTTTTCTCCACCATCTGTCAGCCCCTATGTTCTGTCGAATAACACATATTTAGATTCCAGGATAAAACCAGGAAAAATCGGCATGCTACATCAATTTCTAATGGAAGTACTTCTGGTAGTTTAATCGCCCTGTCTTGGGTTAACACAGCATCAAGATGTTTACACGGGAAAGCAGACTTTCCAAAGAACTATTTAAACGCAGAGTAGTCCAATTGTCAGTCTTTGTAAAACAAACTTGTTTGTTGTTTTTTTTGTTTTTTTGCAGATTATTTGTTTGCTGCAAGATTCTGCTATTGCTTCATGATGGGTCACCATTTCTTAATCTCATTTGTTAAACAAGGGTTCCAGACTCTTTGGGCAGCACAGTTGTCAAAATTTGGCCATGGGCGTAAGTTCAGCTCTTTCATAACTGGTTCAGAGATAATGGCTTCAAGAAAGTACAGACTTGCATGCATGGCCAGTAATATATTAGTAAGAATGAGTGTGTGGAGATTGGTGACGCTCTCATAGAGAAAGGTTAGAGACCTTTGGGAGTCACTAAAAAATTTAGCCACATGGCTTGGGAGTCCCGCACATCAGACACACTGCCATGGTTTTATTTTACTGGCAGCAGCTCAGGAGATGGTCTAAGGCTTCTGCCGCGCAATTAATAAGGGCTCAATGGTTATTGGCTGGTGGCTAGTAAACCAGGATGGAGATGCCTCGATTGACCCGGGTAAACATGGCACTTACTCGGGTTAAGCAGGTCCCATTTTCAAGGGAAGAGAAGTGTGTGTGTGTGGCGTGTGTGAGATAGCTGTGTGTGAGTGTGAATAGTGAATGTGTGTCGTGTGATGATGAATATGTGTGTGAAGATGTGTGTGTGTGTGTGTTGTGTGTGTGTGTGTGGTGTGTGTGTGTGTGTGTCGTGTAGATGTGTGTGTGTGTGTGTGTGTAGTGTGTGAGTGTGTGTGTGGTGTAGTGTGTGTGTCATTGCAAAGCATCTATTGAAATCGGGGCCCAAACTGACAAGAGAATAATAGGGTATACGAAAGACAGATCGCAATTTGTGTATCTAATATCCGAACCAATATACAAAAACAATAGAGAAAATCTTTGCGCCAATCGCTAAACCTTTTTGTAGCAGGCTGGTGCAGACGCCAGTAATAACAATAGCCTGAAGCTGACATAATTAAACAAACTACTTATAACACAAATTCCAAGACATACTTATTACAGCTTATGAACACAACCTCACAATCCAGGAAACTCCCACCAAGGAAAAATGATCATACGATGATCGAAAATATGAAAGGCAGCTGGATCAGGAGTTCGAGGCCAGGATGATAACAGATACAAAAAGAAAAATATGGACTGGAGTGGTCCTAGGCGAAGATGAGCCAAAAAACGAGAACACGAGTAAACAACCCAGGGCTACAACCTGTACATCACAGGTGTGTATGACCTCATCATTAAGCATTATTCTCCAGAGTTTTGGGTGCCACAATCAGCAGCCCATGATATACTCTCCAGAACACGATGGCAAGACATTCTGAATATGGGCAAGGGCCCCCGTTTTCTAGACTACCCCATCTCCCACCTTCATCAATTTAAAATACCCTCCTCC